TGAACAAAAACTAGGGATGTACATATTGACTAATCACTATGTAGTAACTAATGTCATGTTTATCCGGTTCTTAGAGCTCATTGCACTGAATCAACAATATCACAATGTTAGGATTATTCAGAATCGGGTTCAGATCCTACGGCAGTGATCAGCTCACTTATAGCTAAAAACATGTTTTATTAATTAATGCTGTAGCTCCATGTTGCTTACTTTCAACCATATAGCATAATTGATATGTGTTACTTTAAGAGTATTAAGTTTAAGTGATACCTATTCTCATAAATGTAATAGTATTTGAGCAATTTCAATCATACATTATAAAAAAGTGACTTTCAAGAAATCATCTTTATTTATTTAGTAATCTGATCCAAAGTTTTTACATACTTCTATCATCCAAACGTCATGTGATCCAAGCGTTTATCCTACATCATGTAGCTACTACTTTGAATAGAAGTTGAAATTGTCAATCATTCATTTTATTTTTAAATTATAATTTGATCATATAACTTTGTAAATCAACTACATGAATACTAAGAAATAATATCTTTGTCTCACTTTATACTTTCATAAAGCATTATTGTAATAATTTATATCACTTGCAATTGTTTTGTACTTGGATAATTTCTGGTTAAGAAAAGTGAGAACTCCAATCTCAACATCAATTTGCGAAACGATTTCTGAAGATTGTTTTGTATATGAAAAAAACCATCCTATGTGGTTTACTTACGTAGAAATGCTTCAAAAGTATGCTTTTTTAGTATCAAGCAGTTGTGAATTTAGTTTTTAACGGCTTTCAACTTATAGTATACGGCTTATTAACGGTAGCAAAATAAAAGTGGACTTGTAGCAATTTATTAGTTTTGATGTATCAATATTGTGTGGAAAAATGAACGTATTTTTACTAGAAAATATTCCAAAGTACTTGTAAGCCACATGAATAAATAATCTTTAAGGAGTGCAACTAACTCATAATTATGATGGTCGACTTTCAGATCAGGTCAATAAAGTCAAATGATTTACTTTAAGTTTGTGATAGCTACGGAATCCAGCAAACATGAGACTTCTCAAATCACTTGTGTAAAAGATGAATGGAAAGTTCGGTGACAATGTGATCTAACTGGGGTGTATAATACATTTAATAACCTGGTTAGAGATCATCTACATCTGAGATATCCGGCTATCTATAAATACACAAGAACTGTGAGTATTGCTGCTTAATCGATAGAGGTTAACATAGAATCTCTTCCTGCTTTGGGTACATGAACATAGTAATGAATGGAATTTCTAAATCATGAAGCAGCTCATATTGGCCAAAAAGCTTAATACTTGAACGCGTGACTATTATAAATTTCACTCCATCTTCGAAGTCTGTGATTACTTAAGCTTCAATAATATAAATTTTAAAGGAATTTATTGAAAAAGGTCAATAATATATTTTGAGGTGTGATTAAACTGCAATAAATAGTTAAACAACCAATGAATTTAAAACACTGACCAAGTCATAACATTGAGCAAGCTGATAAGCTTTGGAAGAAAACAGCTGTTTACCAAAATTAACATTAAACGAGTCAAAAAAGAAACATTTAAGATCCTAAACCATGATGGAATTATCGATCGGTATTCCTAAATCATACCCAAGTAAATGAATGTTTGTGTCATTTTTATTGTCCCAGTTAATTGTCTAACATATTCAGTTAAAACAACCGATTAGAACTGTTGAATGTAATTGCTGTTATCCAGATAAGAGATAAAATGGAATAAGGAGCTCAGGTTTACTTATTCATCATTAGTCGTCGCGGAACAGCTGATTGTATCCCATCTCTCCTATTAATACTGTTTGGATTCGCTCGTATGTGTAGGGCTTTTCTTTGTAAGAGGTAAAACCTTTTTGAAGGACTCTTGTACCGTTGTAATCAATTGCATGGCCCGATTCCTTGGAGTGTAATACTATCGCTGATTCGTTCTCGAGCTTTCGTACGTAATACGAGGATTTAGGAATATGCTTTAAGCATAGCTTGTGTTCCTTCACCCTCATATTCAGTTGCCTTGATGTTTCACCTAAATACGTTGCATTACAGTCACTACATTTGATTTCATAAACACAATTTTGTTGTTCCTCTTGTGTATTGGATCTTCAGATCTTACTAGTTTTGGTCTTAGATTATTGTTTGTTCGAAAGAATACTCTTGTATTTTGAAGTTAGGATCTTTCTGAAATGACTTTATGATATGGGATCACCGCCGTGTTAACCCACTTTTTTATTAATATCTTTTTGGTCTTCATTCTTGATTATTCTTTTTATAAAATGACTTTATTGATACCATTTAACCACATTATTTGATCAGTGATATAAATAATTACAATTCGATTTCTTTTACATAATGCGTAAACCTAGTTTATGAGATAGAATTCTAAGAATGACAATTTTCATAATAACCATGTTAATCGGTTATTCATGAAAAACGTAGAACTTGGCATAACAACTATGTGAATTAATTCTTTTGATATACAAAGGTGATTAACCAAAAACCTTTTGGACAAATCTTACATATAAGATTAGCATTTATCAAAAAGACATCCGTCTGAGAAATTCGAGCACATATCATTCCGAATTGCAATCAAAGATGCATAATACTATCTCATTTAACTGAAGTATCGGGTCATTTAGTTTACTACACATACAATAATTAAAGGAATATATTTTTTTATCAAGGCTAAGCGAATGAACGAGAAATTAGTTAACATTACTTAACTAATCCGAATAACTACATTGCATTACGAACTGATAAGTTTAGAAATATAATTTTAGCAATTGTTACAACCTTCTTCCCGTGAAAAATAAGAGAAGACAGAATATCATTAAACATCGATATTAATAACTTCGACACGAATAATTCAATGCATTCTTTAATTAAATCATTTACAAAGCTAAACACAGACTGACAAATGAATAAACTGACCTACACACAAGACAGATTAAAAATTAGTAAACAAAGGGAAAGACGAAAATTGATGTAATAATTCAGAACTATTTATCTTTTAGTTTGCGAATTTCTCTAAATAGGGAGGGGACAGGTTATTTAAACGATTGATAAAGTTAAGAAAAACCTTCATTTGGTTATTTTCTTCATTAATGACGAGAAACGATGACGATCAAAGGTAAACACAACAATTGTCAGAATATTAACAAAATAAGAGATGAGTAAAAAGATTCTAATTGGGTATGACAGTAGAATCCTTAATTTCAGGTAAAAAAACAAAAGCAAACAACATGACAACAAGCACCGAAAATACAAAAAGGAACACAAGAAAAAACAAATATGTATACATGTACCCTTTTGTGAAGTTTTTGGAATGTGTATGGTAATAAATTTCAAAAAGTAATTTAGCAGCACAAATATTAGTCAAACTGAGTTAATGAAAACAATAGTATCATTATTTTTCTGAAGTATAAGATTAATAATAAGCAGGAATACAGTCATAAACAAAACTTTGATTTTATGAACAACAGTTAACAAACGAAAAGAATGAACATAGATAGAAAAGAAGAAAAGTCAACCGAGGAATGAAATTCTCACGTAATTTATAAAAATTTATCTTAGAATTTGGCGCAGTTAGATAATTAACAACATACATGTATATATAGGAAACCACTGAATGTTGTCATTTATAGTATTAAGAAAAAGTAACAGAATATCACACATACACTGTGAGATAAAACAAAGGAAAAAAAAGAAATCATTCACAAGAATTGAGTGATAGATAATGACTGTTTATTTTCTTCTGTCCCTTGCTCCAAAAAAGGCGATTTGATTTAACTGTTTATGGACGGAAATCGGAACAAGATAACTGGTTATATGGCACTGTTTATAGAATGGGCTAACATGTTCATATACATAAACGTTTGCGCTAAATATTTACACAAGACAACATAAAATAAACAATAAAATTGACTTGTCAGTGTTTGATTCATATCAGTCAACTTCAAATTACTGATTCTAGCTAATTTATTGAAAATAAAGATTTTAAAAAATATTTTTCAGTGAAGGTACTTCACAGGATAACATAATGACGACCAATTAAGAATTGCTGTAACCATTTGTACCAAATAAATGTTATAGCTGCCTAAACAGATGAAAGTCTTAACACTTTCATCACCCATCAATACCACGAATACATTTTACAATGTTTTTGTTTCATCTATCATCAACAAATAAAAATTATACCTATTGTATAGTCTATTTCGATTTAACATTATGTAGCAGTTGATTCTTCTACCTAGAAATTTATACGGACTAATTTAGCAACTATGAACAAAACAATTTATAAACACGACTGAACACCAATAACAACCATATACGCAACTGGATATCCCACAAAAATTTAGCAGCTGATTCATTTATCACTTTGAAAATTTATCCACTTTACCATCTCAAGTTATTTTATTTAATCCAGAGATGTAAATGAAACGATTCAAATTTAAAATATAATTAAATTTTCAAGTTAATATGCCGTCTTGTGTACTATTTTCAATATACATATAGCATGATAAAACCAATTAGTAAGTATCAAAGTAAAAATATGAAATAAAAAATTATAACGTAGACATGAAGAATGTTAATAGGGATTAGTTGGTGACTGAATGGTTTATAAATCATACATAAATGTATATTTATTGACATATTTCTGCTTTATAGTCTAATAATAAATTATTTCTTTGGTGTCGATATCACTGTTATCATATCACATGACTGTTATATATGAATTTGCAAGGAACCGACAAAGCAATATACGTATCCAAGACTGTAGACATAATATCTAATTAAAAAAGCTGGTGAACTTTGACCGAAATTGTTACTTGATACAATCAGACACAATATAAAATGAAATACTTGTCATGAGAAGTATAAACTAAAAACGATGAATGGATAGCAGTAAACGAAACTTACGTAATATAAGAATTTGGATATTTCATCAATATATATATATATATATATATATATATATATATATATATATATTAGTGTGCAATCCGCTTAAATCAGCAAATTATCACTTTGAATTAATGCTAGTATTTTAGTCATGAGCCACAGTGCCACGAACACTACCGACAAGGCGTTGCTGAAAATAGAAAAAGGTTTATAGTTCAGTCATGTAGACTAAGAACAGTAGTTACAAAAAATTGATAGGTAAAACTAGGATACAACTTGGTATAATACATTTTTACAAACTCCGTTAAAATCCTAACAAAAACGTATTAATTAGTTAACAAGAGAAACGACGACACAAATTATTTTGAAACGACGGTGATTATTAGTCTTAACAAGGTACTAAAAATAGGGAACACCTCTGAGTTACCGAAGAGCTCCAGTAAGTCAGCTACAACGTACAATAAGGCACATACATGCATCGGTCCAAGTTGCCATACCTCATTAGCATAACAAGATGAACAACAAATTCATAGAAGTAATCACCTCAATGGTAGTAATGTAAAAAAAGCGCATCTCATATAAGGATATGATACAGCGAGTAAGAAAGACATGAAGTAGTTTTAATCTCACGGTTTAAGGGAAGACAAAGAATGTATACATCCATGCCATTGTGATCGATTCTGAGCCATGTCACCCAGAGTCTCCAACCATCGGTCACGATGGTCGCACAGACCCCAATCAAATAGTCTGCATCTACCAAGAAGGCTAAGACCAGAATTCAGTGACTTCAAGCACTGATGCCACATTTTGGTTTGGCCGCCCCTAACTGTCACCTCTCCGTCTCCAACACTAGTCAGCATTGCGCGCCATGGTAATCGGTGGTTGGGCATGCGTGGCCCAACCATTTCAGTCGATGTGGATCCACAACCTCACTAACGGATTTACCATTATTCCCTAATACCCTGCGTCCAGCCTCACTGTTACTTATCAAGTGATCCCAGTGGATGCAGGAAATATTTCTAAGACATATATGATCGAATACTAGTAACTTATGTGTATCTTCTACTCTTAATGATCACCTTTCGCAGCCGTAAAGTAAAACAGAACGAACTACTGCGCAGTATACTCGCCAAATAATTGATAGACAGATATCTCGCCTTCGCCATGGGTGACGTAAGTTGGTAAAAGCCGGACGAGCTTTTCGAATCCGTGCTGAGATTTCGTCAGACACCAACCCATTAGGGGTGATCAGAGTTCCAAGACAAATGAAGTTGTCAACGCGTTCGACTGATGCACTCCATATCTTTAGTTCAGGTGTTGACGCAGGCCAGTCCTGGAGCAACAACTTGCATTTCGAGGTGGAGAAGCACATCCCAAACATTCTGGCATTGTTGTTCAGTGCTACCAAAAGACTGCATTTTATCAGTCTTCACCAAACAGGAATATATCATCTGCGTATTCCAAGTTGGTAAGTAAACCTCCTGGTATGAGATCAATTCCTGAAAATTCAGTCGACGGGAAAGTTATTTCCAGCAGTAGGTCCATGATGAAATTAAACAGAAATGGAGATAGTAGACAACCTTGTTGGACGTCACTTGAGGTTGAAAAATCAAATGACAGTTTGCCATAAGCTCTGACTCGGTTGGTAGCGTTTGAGTGAAGAGTTTTCACAAGGTTTATGTACTTCTGAGGTACACCTTTCAATGATAGACACTGCCGCAAAACCTCTCGGTCTGCAGAGTCAAATGCTGCTTTTAAGTCAAGAAAACTTATTATTGTCGGACGCCGTTAAGCATGCCTGTGTTCCACGATGTGACGAATGGTGAATATGTGGTCGATACCGCCACGACTAGGTCTGAAACCAGCCTGATTTTCTTGTGTTTGCAGTTCACGAGTCTTAGTTAGGCGACCGGCAATTATTGAGGCTAGTATTTTAGATGCTATGTTAGTCAAACTAATCCCTCTATGGTTAGTACAGGATGATTTTGACTTCTTATATGTTGGGACAATCAGTAATTGTGACCATTCAGATGAGATTAGATTCAGTTTCCAGATTTTAGCTAAAATATTAGCCAACCTAACAGTTAAAACTAGACCATCATACTTAAAGACCTCTGGAACCAATCCATCTGGACCAGCTGCTTTTCCTCGCTTCAAATTAGATATGGCTTTTTGTACGTCAATTAGAGCCGGAGGCCTACTTCAATGTTCCATTCAGATTGTTTGGGAATGGTGGGTAGTTGTAGAGTAGCTGAAGGACAGCTAAACTGTTCCATAAAGTGTTCCGCTCATCGTTCTAAATATCTGAGCTGAGGTCAGATAAGAGTATCATCTTTTTCTGAGATAGTCTGACTTACACTTGACTTCTTAATTCCGGTTTCTTTTGAGTCTGAAGAGCTGTTTGGTGTTACTTACAATAGCTGCCTTTTTCGTCTTTTTTGCTTCCGTTGCCCACCATTGCTAACAGTCGTTCTTTAAACATTTGGTCGGCCTAAATCTTATTTGTTTTCGCTCATCATCGTGTTCGGAGCCTGATGGGATGAGTTTACGAGAATCTATCATTGCAATAGACTTAGTAGAAATCCACTGTTTCAAATCACTAATAAATGTCGCCGCTGTTTCCAAAGCTGTTCGTATATCTTTCCAAGCAACATTTGGGTCAGCCTCACTTTCATAATTGCCCAAGTGTGACTTTAGTTGCTCCTGGAATTTACCTTAGACTTTTTCATAGCTGAGTTCAACTCTAATGGGTCTTCTTAATGTGGCTCTTCTACGTCCAATGAGGCGCAAGCAAATACGTGCTCGTATTAGAGCATGATCAGGGTCTAAACATGTGTTCTAGAACGAGCGGTATTCTATCGAGCCTCTTCAACGATTACTGATGGCAATATGGTCTATTTGAGTCCATCGTTGGTTTGGTGCAGGGGATCGCTATGTTAGACGATGTCTCTCCTTATGTTTAAACTTAGTGCTTGCCGAAAATAAACGATTGTTTGAGCACAGTTGTAGCAGACGATCACCATTAACTGTTCGCTGAACCGGGATACTAAAATACCCACCTAAATGTCTTTCTGCTTGGTTTAAGCTACGTACCTGGGCATTTAATTCACACGTCACAAGTACTATGTCTAAGTGTTTAGCTTTGCGAAAAAGTTCAGAAAGCTTTATGTCATCTTACACTTCATCCATGTTGCAGTCAGTGGGAGCGTAGACAGAAACGAGGAAAAGGCGACGACGTGTGTCCCTATCCTTCCGAGTTCTTACGGAGCCATTTGTCCGAACAGCACAAAGGCGACTGTTAGCAGGGATCCACTCTAAAAGCGCTTCTTCTGTCCTCTTACATAGTGCTATGCCTACACCTGCTAGTCCATGATAACTTGCTGTCGAGTCGCCAGGTACACGGAGGGCGTATCTCGTCAGCTCCCCGTTCGGGCTAGGTGAGGTCAAGTGAATGACCACACTACGATTTTGTATGCATGGTTCGGAGACACAGCACACACCAATCATACGAGATTTTAGGGTTCTAGCCAAGGAGGTCTGTTTGGCCGATTTGATATAGGGTGCGTACGTTGAAGGCCCCAATGTGTAGTTTGAAGCAAGGTTTCAGTAAACCTGGGACAGTGTTTCGCGCAATAGAATTGTGTCATGATGACGCTTGAGGAGGAAGTCAAAAGGGAAAGTTGAAAGTCGAGGTAGGAGGAATAATGGGGATCGAAGAGTGAAATTATTTATGAATACAGGGGTATCAAGTGCTGTTAGAAGTATGAGGGTGGTTTTCACTTCCTGTTTGCTCACACCATGAAAGAGTTCTTCTAGAGGTATCTAAAATGAGATATTTTTCGAGTGTTGGTCGCGACTATCGAGCTTAAATCTGAAGCGAATAGTAGTTATACATTTTACAAAATCCTCTAAATCTGCACAGACCGTTTACGACTGATGTTAGTTTTGGTTACTCAATTCAGTGTCAGTTTTTGATAATACCGATACTTTGAAAACATTATTTGAAAGAATTCACTGATTTGGTCGCAAATAACAGTGAAAAACACTGAGTGATATCATTTATTCAGAACTAATTGCTTTGTATGTATATTTCATAATTAGAGACAATTGATTATGTTGAGATATTAGAAAGCCCCCGAATGCTCTGGTATGGCCGAGGGTGGGGAGAGTTTGCTCTCCCTCTCGAAATACTCTCACACGGCCATGCGTATACAGCCTCTGCCAGGGAAGTCCTACTCACTGCCTTCTTGGGGCGGGGGTGTTGTTTACGAAAATGAGAGGATTCAACTGTGCTAATGCCACGATAAGATAATATGGAGTGTTGTTTATGAAAATGAGAGGACGAAAAGCGAATGTCCGGCGCTTTAACCGGATTCCAAACCAATGGGGCACATGGGCTCCAGTATCCTGCGGGAACAAACGGCGTATGAACCAATTGTTGGTCACCGGCTTTCATGGGACTGCATCTCCTTACGATGCTCCACTGTCTTGTGGGTTAGACCTTTAGGTCAAAGGCTCGGGGTGTGGCCCCCTAAGGTAACCACCTGCTTCGGTCTGGGCACCCGGGCAGTATCACAGCCCACAAGCAAATGATGAACTCTCTATATCTATGAAAACTACTTTTCTCGCTTTGAAAAACAATCAGTTGGTTCAAATTATTATCATTACTATTATTGTCATTATTGTTGTTTTATTATTATTGTTATTATCATTATTATTATTTTCCACATTATTCACCCTCTTTTATACTTATACAGCGGCTCGTCTTTGGTGGAAATTCGACTGTATCTAAACGTTCCCGAGTCACTGTCCGGTTGAAAATTGTATATTACTACTGATTATGAGTACTGAAGCAGTTTTTCTGAAACCACATGCCCCATTCAAACTGGCTGCCTTCAACATTCGCACACTTATGCAGGTTGGACAACAGATAGGGCTGGCTATGTCTTTAGAAAGTCTTAATATTGATGTTTGTTGTCTATCCGAGACCCGTTTTCAAGACTCTGGCGAAGTACTACAAATTCGATCTCCATCTGTCGCTTCGAAAAGCTTGTTTTACGTGCGCTTATCCGAGGACCCTGTGGCATCTTCGTCTGGTCTTGCTGGCGTTGGTGTCGCACTAAGCGCTAGAGCTGAGGCGGAGACTTGGATGCTCAGGTCGGGCGTCTTAGACACAGAAGAGTCGTTTAGGTGGCCGATGGGGACTTGTTGGTCACAGGACAGATAACGGGGACCGTCTACTGCCACTGCACAGACCGCTGGCGTGGTTGTGTGCAAGACTGCCGCTCCTTTTGGAGTACCTATCTGAACTCTGATCATGCCCTGATCTGCGTCAATCCCACCTTACTTCTCAGTAGCCAACGAAGTGACCACCACCAGCAGATTGATGTTAGCAAATTGATTGCAACTTCTGTTGCAAGTAAGTATCGAACCGAGTTAGCTTGTAGGCTAGCTACCATTCCACCGAAAAGTATAGATGAGCATTGGTTGCAATTGCATAACGCCATGAAAATGGCGGGTACAGTCACTTGCGGCTTCGTGAAACGTCCCGCTTATAAGCACTAGCCTTCTTCTGGTTCCTTACAACTCACTGAAGCCCGTAGGTCTACTCCGGGTGACCGTGAGTTTGACCATAAACGAAGGATGTTACGTAAGGAAATTGGACAAAGCTTGCGTAAGGACCGAGAAGCCTGGTGGTCGGAGCGTGCTAATACGTTGGAGGCAGCAGCTGCATCTGGTAACTACCGGAAGCTCTTCCAACTCATCCGAGCCACTGGCAGCAAGAAGTCTGGTGTGAGCGAAACAATCTGCGAGGATGATGGGATGCCAATCACTAACATCCATCGACGTCTTGGACGATGGGCAGAATTTTTCGAAGAGCAGTTTAACTGGCCTGCTGCTCTGGCAACATCGGTCAGACTGTCCTGCCCTCCATGGCCGGTGACGACTGATCCACCAAATGAGGCGGAAGTCTTCAAGGAACTTCAACCCTTGAAGCGCTACAAATCACCTGACCTACCTCCAGCTCTTTTTAAAGATGGTGGTGACTTTCTGACTAAGGAATTGACGACGTTGTTTACAAAGATTTGGGAACTAGAAAGTGTACCAACGTCATGGAATGAGTCGATAGTTGTCCCTATCTTTAAAAAGGGTTCACGTCGTTCCTGTAACAACTATCGAGGGATAAGTCTACTTCTGATTGCGTCCAAGCTATTTGCTTCTGTCATACTTCGTAGGTTGTTCAAAACTCGAGAAAGATTGACTTGCGAGGAGCAGGCTGGGTTTCGTTCTGGTCGAGGATGTATTGATCATATCTTCACCCTCCGCCAATGTTAGAACACCGTCATACTTATCAAGGGCCAACAATCGTAGTGTTTCTTGACATCAGGGCTGCCTTCGATTCGTTGGATAGGACTGTTCTCTGGGATTGTCTATTGAAGAAGGGTGTGCCTGAGAAGTTTATTAACATCCTAAAAGCCCTATATAAAAACACCTCAGGCAGAGTGAGGGCATACAACTACCTTTCTCCATTGTTCCATTCGAGTAGTGGGGTTAGGCAGGTTTGCCCAATCTCACCATTCCTCTTCAACTTCAGTCTGGTTGTAAAAGGTCGCATCAACAACGCGCCGGTGAGAGCAGTTACGCTCTATGCTTGTGAAATCTGACCTCTTCTAGTTGAGGAGGTTAGACGACTCTCTGTATTCAATCATCGTTGTCTACGAAGGATTGCTGACATCCAGTGGCAACACCATGTTAGTAATGCAGAGGTTCGGCATCGTGTGTTCGGGCACAGAGACGATAGTGCAATTGTTGTCGCCATCTTGAAACATCGACTTCGGTGGCTTGGACATGTTCTACGAATGTCATTCTAGAGAATTCCACGTCGTGTATTATTTGCCGACTCTGGGACTGGTTGGAGAAAGCGGAGAGGTGGTCAGTATATGACATGGTGTCGTGGGATGAGAGAAAGCTGCAAAGGACTGGCTTCTGTTGGTCCTTCACGACTCCCTCGTTGGGGTCCGAGAAATGGTGCGACACACTGGCTAGAGACGTTATTAGATATGGCTCAGAATAGAAGCCAGTGGCGATCCTGCTGTAACCTTCTTTTACTTTCTTCATAAAAGGTGGTTTTATCTTCCTTAACTGAAAGATTTCTTCCGATTGTATCTTTCCGTTCCCACATTACTACCACACTACCTTACACCGATCTCTTCGTTATTGTTCTTTTTTTACGCTCCTTACCTTTTTTTTCTTTTTTCTCTTCGAATTCTCATTGTTTTGTGCGGTGCATATATATTGGCGCTCTCTTGTACCAATATTTATGTGTTCAAATAAATAAACAAATAAATAAGATATTAGAAAAGATGAATTGTATGCTGATCCTCCATCAAGTATTGTTTGTGCTTTACTGAATTCACTAACCAAAGTACTTAAAAATAATAGGCAAAAGCTTCCAGAAATCTTGATCAACAACGTGCAATATATGACTAACAAAAAGGGAAAAAATATAATCATACATTTATATCCACCAAACAAACATACTTCATCCAATTCTTCTTTAGTTTTATTTTCTATAGCTCTTATATCGTCCATAGAAAGTCCGTGCCATTTATCAAGCCAACAAAAAACCTGACGGTTGAAGTTAAGGAAAATTCGCCTTTCTTGCTACATAATTTTAAAAGAAAGTAAGAAATACAACCCTATATCTTGTTTACATGCAACATACATTCTGTATCATATTTTCAACTCGGCTTTGAATACCCCACCATTTAAATTCACATGTGACAAGTTTGTAGGCGCACATTATTGGTAGATCTGTATTCTAATCAATTTATTTAAATAAGATAAATGAAGATGTGAATATACTAACTTCCCACCATCTTGGGCCTACTAATGGACCTCGACCAGTTTTTACTGACTGATATATTCTAGGGTCACATGTTGCATCATAGTCAGAAGCACTGTGCAATTGATCATTTACAATATCAATATAAATAACTTCTCGTTGAGCCAAGAGCTTTGGTGGAAGGTTGTGAATCTGATAAAATATGATTCTTTTAAAAACCAGTACTTACATTTTCGATATTAACGTTATCTTGTACATGCATAGACTCAATCATCAGAGTAAAGTTATCTTGCATATATTTAGGGTTCTAAAAATGTATGAAGTTATTTATGTATACCTGTAAAACTGTACGACAGTAAGGGTAAGCATTCCAGGCCTTTTCGTCAATTTCAAGTGACCCTTTCGGCGCAAGCAAACGTACATAACCAGGTACTTTTCTGGCCAGATAAAAGCGTTTATGAGTGTACTGGCCAGAGGAGAATTCTTCACCGTTGGCTTTTAAAGGTGACTCAGGAGGATTGACTTGAGGATTAAATGGTTCATTTACCAGAACCTCTATTCCCTCTCCGCCTCCAGTTTCATTTTTGGATGCCTCTGCAACAGCCCACAGTTGTCCAACATGGTATTCATCTACCGTTAAAGGCAGTATTATGCGACTACATAAATAGGGCAAAGAACAGGAAACGGGTTACACTTATGTGCTATAAATGAAATGTTGCATCCTTAATCAGTCAAATATAATAGATAGAACTGAATGCAGAACGCCTAGCAAAGTGCAACAAGTCAACAAGAATAGAGAAAATATTAAGAAGCAAGGGTACGAGTTGAGAAATAACATGAACAGCGAGTAACAAATCAATTAAAAGTAAAATAGAACAAAAGGTTTACAACTTCTGGTTTTTATCATCTTGACATTCCCAAACAGGTTTATGTCTCTCTAGACAACTCAAACTAGTCCATTTTTCCATGAAATATGGTACTTGTAGCATATATATGTGTGGCGCATATATATCTGGTGCCCCATTGTACCAATATTTGTGTTCAAATAAATAAATAAATAATATGAGTGGTAGCTCTTGGAAAATTTAATTGAGGTATTTTCACTAGGATTCTACAAGCCCTCAAATGCCCTAATAAGCCGAGAGTGGGGAGAGTCAGCTCTCCCTCTTGAAATGCTTTCAAATGGCCACGTGCATACACCCACTTCCAGCGAAGTCCTACTCACTGCCTTCTCGCGGATGGGGTGTTGTTAACGAAGTGGAGAGGACGAAAAGCGAATGTCCAGCGCTTTAACCGGACTGATGGATACGAAGGGTCCACCTAGGGGAGCTGGAAAACCCTCATTCCAAACCAATGGCGCATATGAGCTCCAGGATCCTGAAGGAACAAATGGCGTATGAACCAATCGTTGATCACCGGCTACCATAGGACTACATCTCCTTACGATGCTCCACTGCCTTGTGGATCAGTTCTTCAGGTCGAAGGCTCCGGGTGTGGCCCGCTAAGAAAACCACCTGCTTCGGTTTGGGCACCCAGGCAGTATCACAGCCTTCACACATATCAAATGAGATTTGTGTGGCGCATGTCTATTTGGTGCCTTCTTGTACCAATATCTATGTGTTCAAATAAATAAATAATAAAATTCGCTGTATAAATCAGTCTTGTGTTTAGATTTGTAAAATTTGTCTTTGAAACAAATACAAGGAGAAGGAGAGCTGAGTCTCCCCACTCTCGGCCGTACAAGGGCATTTGAGGGCAGAATAGTTCTATATGATCTAACTAAATTCAGCCTGATTTGTTTTCGATTGGTTTATATTCTTTTCGCTTGAAATACTGTATTTTATAGCCCCTAGTGTTGAAACATTCAGGGATTCATATCTTGTTTACGAACATTTTGAAGTGGAAAAATCAAACCAAAGAATTAGATTAAACTATTATTAGCAGTCAAGTAAACCCAGTTACGAAAATTACTTTAGCGTAGGTATTTTAATAATTGATAAGTAAGAGTTCACAGATGAGAGCCGGTTTGATGAATACAATATCACAAGTTTAGAGACAGACAGAGTGATGGATAGACTGTAAAAGAACCATAATTTTAACTCCCGGAATGTTGATTTGGTATCCCTAGCCGTTCGAGAAATTACGTGGCTGAAGACAAGCGCATGAGCATGTACTTGGTTAGTGAGTTACATGACGAGCTCCAGATTGACTGAAATGATAAACTGGACACAAACGATGTATAGGCTTGACAATCAAATAAAGTTATGCCAGAGACAATTTCCCACAATGCTGGTGGGATTGATTTCTCTCAGACAAGTTAGTATGAACTAGCCGCATACAAATCGATCAAAACATGGGACTGTTTGAATGGATAGATGAAATTTACAATGATGATGATTGTGAGTATATGCGAAGAATCTTTCATAAAACCTACCATTCAAACTGAAAATGATTAATGTGCCATGGATTAAAAATAAACTAGCTATGTTAGTCGAGGAGCACCAATCAGTAAGATTTACAAGACCATGTAAAATCCCTACTGAAAGATGTGCAAACCTTAGAGGGTGTAGAGATTGAGAACTATTTTGAAATCGAGTGACCAGGAATGCTTTATTTTGACCTAGCAAACTATAGTAACTTTTTAATTTACAACTAGGTTGGTTAGAGGACATTTTTACAATATGAACAGTCACACGAGACAATTAAGCCTAGCGATTGCAGGAAAGAAACGCACGCATAAGCACACTGAGTCTCAAGATATATGAAAACCTATGATATTCGTTCAATATTAGTAACCATAACATGTAAACGCCACTATTTGTCATTTTATGCATAATTGTGTTCAGAATAGGTAGATAATTTACTAATAATCAAACCTCATTTCTAAGATGCATGATTTGGACTTAACCACGATCGAAAGCAACAAATATTACCCTGAAACAGTTACAAATAACAAGTAAATACACCAAATCAACCTACAACTCTTTAATGATCATCGCCCTGCAAAATTCAATTTGGTTCACAGTTGATGGAATAATCTAATTACTAAGACTGAACAAACATCCAACATTCATCATTATATTTCCGAGCTAATGATATCCTGAAGATTTATTTGTGTTCCTAACTTGATATTACCTAAAAGTTTTAAGTATTTTCATACTTCCAAATGAGTAAATCTTAGCAATTGTTTTACAGGAGAACTGAAGATATTTGACTAACTAAAAACTGTCAAATTGAATATAATTATTTTCACTGTTTTTATATGCATTTGTTCTACTCAACTTCTAAGCTTGTTTGTTTATGTCTTTGACTTCGGATAGCTTGGTTTCACTTTTTTCTTTGGTTTGATATCTGGAAGTTTTCAACCGCGAAATCTGAAAGTTTGACGGTTTGTTTTATAAATGTTATATTTATTATTAGAACGGTATTTTGTCTATCGCTTGTAATCTGCAAATAAACTTTGGTGGCTGAATCGGGGTTTGGTTCTATGATCATTCCGGATCGTAAGCTAAAAGTTGATCGATCTACCGTGCTTCAATAACGAAAGAGAGCAAAATTTCGGGATAAACAGCCCAGGTGATTTTAATGACGATACTATGTTGTATAATGGATAGTTAAAGGTTTTTTCTCTACTAGTTTTACGACGATAACTTATTAGTCCACTAATGAAACTAGTCATGTTGTATTAACACTGAGACTCACGATCTAAATTATGGAATTACATTATCATTAGATAAGGCTTTCTTCAGTACGGTGACAAGCAGTCGCTGTTAGAAAGCTCGAACTAGAAATCAATAACAATGGAGGAAATCACAATATTTAATAGCCTGCAGGTTAAGTGCAATTTTGTCTACGCTCGACGCTCAACCATACTTTACTTTCACCGTTACATAACACCATGTCACAACGATATTCTGACTTTTCAGGAAGACTAGTAGAGTGGAGAATACCGAACCAAAGGAAACGTCTCTTCTGGTACCATGAAACGAAGAATGGCCATGGTAAACCGTGGCGGTTTATCCATTAACTACATTCTAAGCTATCAGGCCATCACATTTTTCTATACAGAAACGGACGAAGACATCAATCCAGACGATAATCAACCCATTTCCTCCAAATGGCGTTACGTTGCAAAGGCGCATACTTAGCGTTTTAGGGTCTTTCGGGAATATAATTTAGCTAGACCCATGAACTTTTTAAAGTCGCAATCAGTGTTTTATAAAGATCACATCCTGAAAAATAGTTCTACATCATACAACTTTGTCTTAATAAAGATATTGTCTTGCTATATTATGACTATAAAACACAAGTTAAAAAAGTTCTCAACCTAAGTACGGTATAATCGGATAGACTGGAATGTTTAAATTTGCAACATATACACCAAAGACGGACAGGAAAAGTGCGATGGTTAGGAGTATTTGAATTATTGTACGAAATAGGAATTCCTGATATAACGCAACTAAACCAAGGAGTAATAGATGAGCACGAACAAAGGTATTGTATTGGGAATTGGTAATCAAGCAGTCACTGAGTGCAAAAGAATCATTAGTTCATACAAAGGCCACAAAAATGTATGTTTATAATGTATTGCATCACTTATAACGTAAAATTTGAATTCTTACAATAACAGATTGTGTGAAAGGACATACAATAATCTAAAAATCCATCTAGCTTTCTATATAGCTAAGAGATTTTTGGTACGAAAGAAGATGCAATGAATAAGAAACGTGGTTGATAAATACGACATCTTAGTACGTGAGAATTGGCAAGGGTACTCTCTGCAAAATGAAATATTTGTTTACTCTGAAACTCGTGGCCAGTGAGATTAACTCGGTTAGCTTCAAACTGGAACCCAGAAAATCAGCATGCCACACATTCATAAGTTTGAGACACAGATGACACAATCAGTATTCGTCACGAATTATGGTGTTTTGTAACTGCTTAGCAATCTAAAATATATCAAGTTACTGGAACATGGGGAACGACACTTTTGGCTGCTTTTTTTTACTCTCAACATTATTATTATTATTATTCACAAACATCTTGTGGGTACATAAATGTTGTGAAGAAACCATTTCGGGTTACTTTAAACAATGCAATGATACACAATTTTCAATAATGTTAGCATAATACTTGCCATACTTAAAAAAATTTAGAGTAATAATAGTAGAATGTCAATAATAATAAATCGGGTCTGTGCAATTGAGAAGAATATTGAATTGATTTCAAAGGAGGAAATGGATAAAATAAGGGAATAGAAATAAAGGAGACGCGAAATACGCAAACAGTTTAATTGGCGTATTTATGAACATAAAACAAGATTAAAGGACTATGTAAATATCGTCAAATTAGTAACAAAAAATAATTAAGAAAAAACAACTTATTATTGTAGTAAGATATGACGCTAGAATAAATGTTTGTGCAGTCATAGTTTGGAGTGATGCGATGAAAGTCTCAATTGAGTGAAAAGGATAATGAGACATATATGCATAGTGAAGATAAAACGGGTCTAAGAAGTTAATTTAAGTGTAATACAAGTTATTGTCTTAATTACAAACTTCGTAATCTTAAGAATATTTATTTAGAGGGAAAAAAGAGGGAAAAGAAGTGAACACCTAATGAAAAGTTTCATCCATGATAAGAATAATAATTGTGTAATGAATATCAACCTCAGAAGGAAACCAACCATTTAGAAAAATAAAATAAAAACCCTTTAATGCACTCGGATAAAAACCATGTAGATTTATGTAATAATATACAGTGTGAAACCGGATATTAGTATAAACATATGTGCAATAATAATTAAGAATGATGCTATGAAAGTCACAATTAATTTCAAAGGACAGTCAGGAATTAAATATGTTAAGAAGGATAAGAACATACGAAAGGAATATCTAATGTGTCGGGGGAACAATAATGATAATAATAACGGTAATAATTATAGATACGAACATAAGCAGACTTCATATATTAAGATAAATAGAAATAACATAAAATAGACGTGAAAAGATTAAAAGGTTTCGTTTTGCTTTTCAGGCAATTAAATGGATGACGGACCTTGTTTGTATAATTCATTGTTGAATACACTGATATTCAATAGATGAAATAATCCACTTTCAGAAAGAAAATCATCATCATTTAATACTAATAATAGGAAATATAATGCCTATACAAAATGAGGAAGTGAATGAATGCTTGAACGATACTGTTTTGGCATGTGCTTAGTTATTTGAGGTTAACTCTTAACCAACCAAAACTATTGAAAAGTCGCAGTCCAAACTATTTAATAGGCTTTAGTATGATATCCAAATTGGGAGAGGACTCGAAGGACTTAAAGGGTCACAACTATTGAGTTTGACAACACCTTATAATCGAAATGTTCCAACCTAGTTAAGTCAAAAGTCAGAAGCGAAGAGGTTCGAAGTAATATCTGATGGGCGATCAATGGTCAGTCGAAGTTGACCGACGGTTGTAGTACATATGTGGCATGGCGTGTCCACTCGTGATCTGGTGCAAGTGCGGTACCGAGCAACTACAGCTAGATGAGGCGAAGACTTACAGAACTACTGATTTTGGGGATTCGTTTACAGCTGCAGACTCTTTAGTTAATTCACTTTTCAGAAGGAGGTATACAAAGCCTTTGCCTCCACAATAAGTGCCTTTATCGGGTGGTATAACTGCCAGCGTTTTGTCTGTAATGGTGACAACTGTTGAGTCATCTTATCACAGAGGTTCTTCCGTTCACTGGATTGCGGACAAACCGAAATCACTTGTGATGCGGATAAAATCGCTGTATTTGGCTGAGATTGGAGTCATTTGAAGTTTCAGCATTGTCCAGAATTAAACGGTGAATTTAGAGCACCTGGAGCAACAATCATCATAGTTATAAATATAGGAGGCTTTATTTATCAGGAATAGGACTGAATAATTCTGTGGTGGACCAGACGATATATAAACGCGAAAAGTAGTTTGGGTTGTTTGTCTTGAAGTTGCACGGTTTAGTGCAACGGCGTGCTTTCTCGCCATAATTTGAATGATACCAACAAATTCCGGCTGCCCGTTTGGGTGACCTAAGACGATGTCTGGATACTGATCTCTTTCTGGACGTAGATCTTGCAGGTCGAGAATGAAAGGCGGCTATAGTTGCCTGCAGTGATGCTAACTGCTGTGTTAACTGTGTTATTTGTTGCTGGATGTTGAGTGCGTCGCTCATGTTTTATCTACTTGAGGATTGTATCGTGTTAACGCCACGACTATCGGGATATATTTCCATCATTTTACCGGCCATGTCTGCTAAATCATCAAGACTGACAGAGGCTCTTGATATGCTGAGGATTTGTCTGACGTTATGTGGTAACCTTTGAACCACATCTGCTCAAGTAATGCTTCGTCTAACTTGTATGAGCCTGCTAGGTGTCTCATAAGTCTAAGAAACTATGAAGGTCTTTTGTCACCTAACTCGCATGCGGTTAGCAGTTGCTTTAGGCTTTATTCGTCAGACTGTGATGTACGGTGGATTACTGCGGCTTTTATTTTGTCATTGGGGTCCGTTTCTGGTACATTATCTATCAAATCTCCGACTTCTGCTGCCACTTCTGTGGGTAATACTCCAACGACGTAGGCAAATTTTGTCGCTTGCGAGCGTATAACTCTCGCCAAAAATAGTACCTCAACTTGTGCAAACCAGATTCTGGGATTATTAACACCGTACGTTGGTAATCTTAACTCTGAAATAGCGTTCATCGAGCTTACATCATTATCTTCCTGTTGTGAAGAGTTTAGTGGGTTGGTCGGTGGACTATCTATATCAATGAGTTTGCCCGGAGAGTTCATAGTGGGAAAAATAAAAATGGTGTCGTGTCATGTATTAATAATAAGAAAATATATGCAGATATATATTGTAAATGTCTATAACAAGTTCGAGGCTCACCAAATAATTGTGGCTGACCAGACGATATATAAACGCAAAACGTATCAACAAAGTTAATAAAGATCAATAGAAATGTTAATATATATATAAGTTAATTATTATAAATACAATAGACAGTTGGGACTCTACTTAAGTTCACCAAATTGATGCGTGTTCGGCTTTGGTCTGGTACTAAGAAACCACAATTGTAAATGCTTGATAATTCCAACCTGGTTGACGAACTCTCCAGTGATATAATCCAACGTAGGATGTGACATATTCCAATTACAGTCTATAAATGTAGATAGTGTTTGATTAAGACTTCAGTTAACTCAATCACAAGCGAAGATAGAACGAGGAATGTGTGAGAAGTAGTGTATTTGTTAGCCAGCAAGTGTATGTCACGGGTGATCTTATCCGCAACGCAACCAATGTAAACTTAATGTATCGCACACTGTCATTTGTGCGTTCAAGTAACCACATATTTTGTCATTTCATAATGTATTTTCAATTAAATAACTAGATTATGTAGTTAATTTTTCTCTGTTTTTAATTTTTATTTGCCACGTCTGACTGCGTTACACTGTACGTCCATTGCACGCTGAGATGATATCTCAAGTCATAGTGATTTTATTCACATAGTTGATTGTTTCCAGATAGACTGTCAGTGCATGATTTTACTGAAGAAAGGTTTGTTGTACTGTAAACTGTGTTTCTATGATCAACTTCCTATTGTCTTCAGTATGAATTCATACTGAATACTGCTTTAAAGCAGTATATATGTATCCTTCTTTTTTTCTTAGGTAAGTCCAACTGGCCTATATTTCGTGTTTTGATTTTATCGGCTTAATTATGTCCATTTACCTACTATGAGCAACATGTCTTTGTAAGTGAAACAATAACTATGACACTTGCTTAGTTTAGTGTTCTTGGTTGTCGTATAATTCAGTTTAGTTGAAAGAATTATGATATACTTAAGTATAGTGCTTGAAGTCTGTAACGAAACAGATCAGTTTAGTAAGTAGAGTTGCCTGTTTCTAATGTGTATACGGATTCAGATCAGTCTGATTAAAAATAGGAAAAACCGTGCCTTTGATGCTGTTGCTATCATACATTATAAGATAGCGATAAGTATGTTTGGTGTTTATTTCTAAACTGTACATCTATCACTGACCATATTTCATGATCACTGTCATTAAACAATTTCCCCATCAATAACATCGGTAGCAAGATAGCTAAGTGTCTGAGCTTTTAGTTGCCCGCAAAACAGCAGTATACAGTCTTAGAAGATGAGTGTTCTGTGTCTCAATTAAATGCAGCTGGCTGTGGACAAGGGTTAAGAATCTTTTTGACAACTGGGACTTTTAGTTTATCAGACACTAACTCTGCTTGTATGTTTTCCTGTTAAACTAGACGCAGATGCATGGGAATACTTAAATGGGAGCAAAATAATAAAAACATTGCAATACGGTACTAAGCCCATGTTATGCTTTGCGCAAGTAATAGTAGCTGACCTTATCTAATATTCATGAACTCAAGGTAAATCACAACTGCATAAATTCTTTGCTAAAAAACATATGATTTGGTTATTTATATATTCCACATTTCTGACTAAATTCATCACCATTTTTTCATTTAGAATGCATCGGGAGTGATTCTTCACAGATCATAAAAACTGTTTCGCCCTTAGAACTATGGCCCTATGGAACTGTTTACGGGAGATCCAACGAACAGCAGATTATAAAAAGGATGCTGGACGTCCATTTTAGTCTCACAACCACTTCCAGTATTTTTTGACTTCTTTTACTCTTTCGTTTGGAAAAATACAACGAAAACTACAGCTTAACATTACCAATACAACTTTTAAACTGGAACTTGGTTTAAACCTTTGTTTGCTATTCGATTCTTAATGAAAGTTCTTGAATAAATTTCTGAATCTAATGCTACTTTGTTTTATCTACTTAATCGTTGCAAGAAACTTGTGATAAGCGAGCCTCTCAGCACCTAGTTCATGTGTTCAAATGGTTGTGGACTGAATAGAAGAAACTTTCGCTTAACAGGCTTCCGTGTCTAGTAGCAGGGGATCACCAATACCTCAAGGCAGAAAACTAGGTATGGTAACAATAAAAGAGGAGAAATAAATTGATAAATCATAGTATGATACTACACTTAGTCCTTAAGAATAAACCCAGTTGCCCCTTAAAGGACTCCTGCGAAGTCGCTTGGACTAGCTCGGCCGGCAGAAAATCCCAGCATTTCACAACTCTTAAGGAGGAGAAGTTGTGCCTACAGTCCGTTTTGCTATGTTGTGTCTCTAGTTTCTGGGTGTTACCCCTTAGGTTAGTGTTGGAACTAAGCTTAATTAGGTGTCTTAGGGGATGTCCAGAAGTGTTAAGGTTATTGTAAGCCATTAGGTCACCTCTAAGACGTCTATACTGTAATGAGTAGAGGTTAAGTGATTTGGTGCATATCCTCGTCATTTCCTTGGGAGACCTACAGACTCGGGTCCTCTCATAGCTTATTCTAACCACCATGGGTTGTCACACCAGCTGATGGATGGACATGCGTTACACATCCTAGCCGTACCTGCGTATTATCTTATAGCTTCTATTTCAAATGCCATATGACAAGCAAGCAATGCCCCTACCCGCACTTATGGAACACTAGTAACTCAAATGCACCCCGTATGGTACCTTACACTGGTTTACGCACTCGCTTAGCTCTTTAGTGAAAATCCCATGAGCCCCCCTACCTCCATCAAAACAAATAAGTCTGTATTTGCAGCATATAGCAATTTTATTATTCAAAAGTAAGATATAACAGTTAGAATTGGAGTAAAATGGCAGTATACAGCAGATGCACGTGGTACATGTCTTTATCGATTAACTGAAATAGAGAATATGGATATTAGATTAACAGCCTTATTTAGAAAGACTAGTGTCTAATTTGAACTTACTGCGTGAGAAAGTTATACTGGAACTACGAATGCTGTAGAAATAGTTTCTCGGGGCGTACGAAGCACCCAGACTGTAAGATAGTTGTTCAAAAATAATTCAAATATGGAGGTGAAAATTTGCAGGTACTTTTCATCGTGAGGGTGAACATATTAGGTACCAGTTGAGATCATACCGTAAGAAAACGCATATTTGCGAGTGGTGAAATACGATCTATAAAAAAGTGAGCTTAATAACAGTTAATTACCTTTTTACTCCCTGATCATGACCCTTCGGCTACCTTTTATGGCCAAAACAGCAAACATACACTACACACTGGTAGCAGATTTCCGGCTTTTCAATGTTAAGCTTGCTTTAACGCACTGAGTAATGAGTACACCCCCCTCTATTACTGTTATATGGCATATTTTTCATAAAAAACCCTCTGCAATAGATTGGTAGCATCTGTGACTTCATCTATAGTTGTCGGAAGTCTTTGTCCTTTCGAAATCAGTACCGATATACCCTACTGCTGGGCACTCTGTATTAGTTTGACTCGTTGGTGGAATAGTGTTGTCCATAATACTAAAGAAAATTACAAAACGCAGATTGTTTCCTTTCATTTTGCCGATAACATCATAAAGGACAGTTAGGAACGAACATGCGAACAGTTCAAGTCACAGGCGGCAGCAACAATTATTTTAGCTAAATAAAAACGAACTTCGGGTTCGGACGTCTAGAAAAGAAGGTAAAACATAACCGATTGTCGCTTGAAAACGTAAGGTCTTATGTTAGTACTAGCCAGCTTAGCTGAATAAATACATTAACTTCATTAGCAGCAGATAAAACCCAGAAAACAAAGCAAAATCAGGAAAAACTTTGCTCCAACGTTCAGAGTATTACACTAGCTTTTGAATTTTAGCACACTGAAACATCAAATTCCGTAGCTACACAAAAGAAATAGCTGAAAGAAGCACAGAACGAAGAAAGCCGGCCGCCATTGCTTACGAAGATGGCGGATGTAATAATTCCCGCCTCATTCTGATTGGTTGCTAAGCTGAAGGGCACATTTACGAAATTGAGTTGCGTTTAATTGCAGCCGTATGTCACGCTATGTGGTTGCACAACGGTAAAGTGTGTTCAAGGTCATTGACTAAAACAACAGGTACAGTCGTTTATTGATAAATACACATACAGTGAAAGGTTGACGAAATAAATACAAATAATAATAAAAACTATTCACAAAATAGGCTTGTCAGGTCTATTACCACAATTCCTCCTATACAATCTACTGACTATAAATGTAAGAACACACTTAAAAAACATGCAAAAAGCTCCGACAATCCACAATGTTACATGTAAATTCAGTATTAGCAAATATTAGATTTACGGACGTTTTAATTAAGCAAACAGAATAGGTGGATATTTTGTTGTTGGGAGCAATTACGAAGTTTTTCGGTACTTCTGCGCATGTTGTGGCATTGCTATTGCCGTAAGATCGGTGAGCTTGTAGGTACCGTTATTAGGACGAAGGTGGGAAGTGTAATAATAGCGACTGCATGTGGGTCTGTTTTGTCTGGGGTATTTTACTTTACTGTCAATGGTTATGAACATGTAAAAATGAAGGTTTGGGGAAACCACTGTTAGATAAAGCTTATTTATTAGACACAAAAGGCTGATATTAGACATCTATCGCTTGAAGAAAAGTTCCGCACCTTCGCCTCTTTGCGATTTAACGGCGTTTTGTTGATGACCCCTTCAGATTTTTTACGTTCTTTGGTTGATGATCAAAAGCAGGGTAAATCGTTGTTTAGCTTATACTATGAATTCTAACCAGTCAAAATGATGATAAAAAATGAACCGCAATTCATCGAGAAAATAATGACTAGAGCATCTAAGAAGAAACATGGATCTCGTTTTTTTCGAAACCTTCAAAACGATGGGATAATAACATTTTCGGAATATTTGTTCCTGCTGCATATACTAACAAGTCTAAATACTTTTTGGTAACGTTAATGTTTTTCAGAATCTTCGTCGGGTTTTGAAATAGCATTCAAAATGCTTGATAGGGATCTAAGTGGATCTGTTGATGCCAGAGAATTCATGATCGTTAGTGATGATGTTCATATACGTACTTACCATGATTTCAGTTGAACCATATAATCGCAGAAAGTACCGATGATATACTTGATACCGATAGAGGGGCATGTGATCTCGTAAGTTAAGAGCTTGTTTGACGACCTCATAATATAGTTGCTTCCGGCAGACCAAGCATATAATACAACTCTTATGACTCACCTATTTGGTTATAATAAGAATCATAACCTGAGCTTTGAGGAATTTAAAAGGTAAAATTATAGAGTAAATTTTTATTTCAATAGATTCATGCATAATGTTCAAACAGAAGCACTAGAGGTTGAATTTCAGGAGTTTTCTTCAGGCTCATCTGCAATTACACCAGTCGATTTCGCTCGTATTATTCTTCGTTATACCACAGTGTCTACTTCTGAGTATGATGCATTCATAAATCGACTTGAAAAGGCTGTTCCCTCTAACATAGTTCGTTCAGTTTGTTTTATTTAAAACTATATTTTAGACAATCTCCTTCAATGAATTCCAGAAATTCTTCATGTTTCTAAACTGTTTGGATGATTTTGCACTGGCAGTAAAAATGTACACTATTGCAGGCCAGCCTATATCACTACGTATGTTTGTCACATTTTTGCTTTTTCTGCAAATAAGTTTTGAAAAATAACAAGTTGATGATTTTCTAGAAATTTAATGTTAGTTCAGCATAAAATTTTGTCTTTAGGTACCTTCAAGTGACTTATAATCTTTCAACAAAATATCTAACTACTGAGTAGTTAAATTGGACTAATGAGTTCGTACTATTATCTTAGAAATTTGATTTTTGGTAGCGAGCTTATTCTTAATCCCAGGATATCTATTAGTTTGGTCATTATTTTTTCGTTGAGATGCAAATTAAAATATAGTATCATTCACGTGTTGGCATAAACGCAAATGACAGATATACCGGATTCACTGGTCTTATTAACAACTTTCGATCACGACTGCAGAGTTCAAGTTTTAAACACCTGCAACGTGTCGCTTAAAACAATTCTACAATGGGTTATTTTTCCACGTTTTGGAACATGAGGTCAATTGGGCTAGCAGTCATACCATATCTGATCTCGACCTGTTTCGATTCATTTGATTGTCTCTTTTGGCATCTCTGTTGGTGCTGGTTATCTGTAACAAAATCCTCATTTTCAGTAAAAATCAAATGTATTTGAGAAGTTTGCACCTTTTTGAAACCTTAACTTGGAACTCTCAGTTTTACTGTTCTTCAGCAGGCCTATCTCCGATGTCTGGCGAGAGACGAACAAATTTCAGTCAATATAAACTACGAACTCCCAAATAAGTCGACCCTTACATCATGGACGTAACTTCAGTTGAGCTTTCTTTTTAAATATATCTAGATGTAACAAATGATGTATATGAGTAGTAGGATTAGAGCTGAATTATACTAGACGGCTTGCCTAACTCAACTTTATTTGATGTTCATAACATCCAAAATTATAATAAGTTTTTCTTTAATTAATTTATTAATCTCTTAATTATTTTTAGACACGTTTAGTTTTTAATCTTTTCTAGCTGAATTTAAGCGAGCTGTTAAAGCATGCATTGGTAATGAATTAAGCTCTGATGTTTTAACAGTCCTGTTTGCCCTATTTGATCGTGATGAAGACAATTGTCTTAGTTATAATGAATTCATTCACATCATGCGGGAGAGACATTCTGGAGGACTGTCGGTATGTTATCCAAATTGGTCATTAGTTTTACATTTATCGCCTAACCCATTAGCCTTCTTAAGGTATTTCCTTTATGTTAACATAATACTAAAGTTTTCAAACGTTTCACGTTTTTAATTTGCTACTTGTCATTAGACGAAGAAGTAATACTCTGTTCATTTAGCGTTTCGTTTCTTTGGAGACAAAACTTTGTGGGTTTTATGTATTCGAAATTTACATTTTTTTTCGTGAGCACGGTTAAATAAACACAGAAAATAATATTGAAATCGTTTGCTGAAGTTTGCTTGTTTTATAATATGTTAAGTAAGCAATATATTCTTAAAAAGGAAATAACGTGATTATTAAAGGCATGAAAAGCAACTACATTTTGTTGCGCAGTTATTATTATGTCACACAGTCAAAAACATTTAGACTTTCGTGTCATTACCATGGTTTGGGTCATGCGATTAAAGTAAAAAATTCATATATTAGTTATCAAAGGAGTTGAATTTATTACAAGAAATTAAGTTTGCATAAATTGAAAGTAACGTAAAAAGAACTTTATATTTTGTTGAATCAAATAAAATGTACACAAAGTAACAATGGAAACTGCGTGGCCCCCATCTATCCTGACAACCTGGGATTTATGTTTTGTCCTTGATATAGGCCATACTGTTGAACTTTTTAGCTGATAATCGGTTTAGAAAGAGAAATGGTTATAGTTTTTAAACAATAGTAGATGTTAAAATTAAGTAGTGTTCATATGGCATATGAAATCAGAATAATACTATATCCTCAACAAGTCACTGACGACATTCACTGAATTCGTGTGCAAAATTTAAGAAACTTGATGTGATAACCGTGGTTTCATAAACGAACAATATGTTCTGTTTCAATTTTAAACTAATGAATAAAATATTATATGCTTTAGCTTTACACTTTAATAGCTGGAAATGAAAAGAAACCGTTGTTTTACACTTTCTTATCCAACGGCCGCATATTTAAATAAAGATTTTTATGTAAGCTTAATGCCATCTAGGCCATATTGCACGCTAAGAAGGTACTAAGAAGCTTCCCTTGGCTCATTTTCTGATCAAAGTTTTGTTTGATGGAATGGTTAATTAACTGAAGCAAGTATGTGAAGCATTTATTCTTTGATTACCCCGAAAGGGACATAACTGTATATATGTTCACAATTAAAGTGTTCTATTATATCTAGAACTGATTGATCTTATTTATCCAGAATTCTAGAAAACTCACCTTACAAGGTTTAATTATTGTGTTAACCCAAACATGATGTAAATGAGTACCTGAAATATTTCAGGTTATCAACAGAACATAGTTAGTTTCACTGATTATGCATAGATTAATAATAGATCTTCTACTGTCACGTACGCTATGCTAGATGGGAGTTACACTTTTTTAGATTACACTTGATTCGCTTTATGGGACCGTTTTCCGACATCTTAGTTTGACAGTAGCAGTATGTCAAATGTTCTCTGGGAGATCTGGACAAAATATCGCAGCAAAACATTTGATCTGTTTTTACAAACTAACAGTACAAAAACATATGTGATTGGTTTTCGCGAAACAAACAACTTTATTGTAAGAGTGCTTCAACATAAAATAAAACAATGTGGTTTCCTTCTGCGTAAAAGGTTCATCTCAGTGTAGAATAAATTGAAGCCATATTATGTAGTTTATGTAAGCTATAGTTAGTCAACCTGAACCTCATTTTTAAGAAGCATCATATTAATTGTGTAACACGCGCACGCTTTTTGAAGTCTGTGAATAATAAAAAATGTGCCATTGAAAAGCCTTTAATATATGGAACATTAACTAGAAAGTCATTTTCGTAAGTTTGTTCACACAACTAGAAAATGAATAATTACAAATTTTCTTTTGTTTTTGTTGCTTTATACAGCGTACTTCTAAACATAATCAGTACACAAGGATGTTTCGAAAGTGTCTAAAACGTGAACTCCAAAGTTCAGTGAATTGAGGACAAGAATAACAGTGTCATAATTCAAACTTTAAAATCAACTCTTACGCTTATATGAATTCAATATCATAACTCATTATTCCTCTCTTCGATATTGAAATAACAACAATGATCCAAAGGATCAGCTTTATTTTGTTCAACTGAATTATAAACATATTTATTTTTGAATGAATGTAATGGGTAAATGATCAAGTCTTTGAATAATGCATAGAATACGAAAGTCTTTCATGTGGATGTCTTGAATTGAACGTATAAACAAGTCAACAGACTGAACCAGTTTCATGCTAACATTTTACTCCTTGCTTACGTTTGTTTACATAATTTTTCGATGAAAAATGTATTTCCTCATGACAATAACTATTTAGGATGTTTGGAACCGGGACTCAATTAGGCTATTTTATTCAATGTTAAACAATCTGGAACAAACGATCAAGGTATGGTATTTGATGACTCTCTCTGGCTGATCTATTTAGTTTCCTCAGAAAATGAAATAGATAGTTACTAACCATTTCTGTTTTTGTTTTCTAAGTTTATTAGCCATAATTAGATAAATCTTTATTAGTTAAAAATCATTTTCATTGTGCATAAAATTTCTAAATCATACACTTATCATGATGTAATTCAATAGAGTTTTGTTCGATTTGTTTTTTCCCAACAACTCATGTGACAGACTTTATGAACTAGTTTTTTTCTTATTATTTGCATTAAACCATATAAAATTTTTTTTAGTTTATTCCGGTCATTTATTTACTCTGAAGAATTGGTTTACATTAAGTCACGAAATGTCAGAAATACAATCCTTTTATTCATTGAAATGCAAGAGAAAATATATAATTATTATTAAAATATAATTGAACAACAGTGTATATAGATCCAAAACCGTTATGTAAATCCTCTTGCTCAAATTATGATGAAAGAAATTTTATTTACTTTGTTTCATTTCTTGATACGATATATTTTTATTACACAAAAATATTCTCACTCCCTTTTTCATGTAATGAAAATATTTCATTTTGACGAATTTTATTAATTTATTTTGAAGCAGTAACATTCCCTTTTGTCCTTATACTTAAAATATAACATCAAATAAAACTTTTAATCCATTAAGACAATGAAAGTTTCTAGTTGCCATCTGTTTTTTAAACTAGTCTGTTAATATGATTTACAACACTATTTGAGAATAATCTCTAATGTACATAGCTGCACTTTTGTGTACTTTTTGAAGAAGCAATTTTTAAAACGATTTTCAAAGTAACTTGTAATATTTCCCTCTCTCAAGCTTAGTCGTAATATCAGTTGATATAAACTACTAAAACATAGAAATAAGAACATAATAAAGGTAAAATGATATTTTATTTTGTTTCACTAGATAATTTGATGCATATATATATATATATATATATATATATATATATATATATATATATATATATATATATATATATATATATATATATATATAATGGCGTGTAAACCTAGTCAAAAGTGAGATAATAAATCACTGATAATAAGGCGTCACTGTCACGTCATTACAAATTGTCCGGATTTAAATATATAGTCCATAGAGTTTGGATTCAGTGGTCAGAGGGTATTATTTTTGAATTGAGACTTAAGGATCTTGGGTTCTAATCTTTCAAAGTGTTCTGATGAATAAAATGGTCCTAAACTAGGACAAAACAGCCTTTTAGTTCTTTATGGTTATTCAGCTAACTATTGTTTTTAATGAGAACTATTTTCATGATAAAAGACAATTTATCCTTTGTGAGGCTTCTTAAGCATAACTTATTTTTTTGAAATATCCTCCATTTTTAAGGGGATTTCTGAAGTAGATAAACTTAACATCGTATATAATATCTGTGATGTAATAGTGAATTTCATTCAAATCCATACGAGCACAGGGGAAGCTAAACAGAAGGATCAACTAATATATGTGTTTATTAATAAAATGTTCAGCTGGGTTTTGCTTTATATAACCTGAGGTTAGTGGGTTAGGAATGATATACTTCGAAGTATTTAATGCTTTAACAATAAAAACTAGTGAAAGGAATAAAATTATTCAAATAACTGGTGTATCTGTGTAAAGGCTTAAAATTCCGTCTCGATAATTGCATAAACAGTCAACTGAGTTACCTAAGGGGCAACTGAACATTAGAACTAATTAAAAAGAGACCAGAAAATAACTTAGTATTTTTCACAGTATTTTTATACTATCAGTGATTATTCTCATTCTTATTTCTTTGGTTTATTGTTTCACTCTCATAAATGTATAAAAGAGTAAGCTACCTAAAAAACAATTTAGTAAAATATGTAATAAATTAATTGGTAATCTCATAAAACTATAAATTTGTAGAGGTTTATACTTCTATTTTATAACAAGAATGTCTTTCCCTTTCGGAAAAATGGTTAAGACAATATCAGTGAATAAATTTCGAGGAAGAAAAACAAAACGAAACTTCTCATAATAAACAGAATTGTTGAAGTTCGTTTATTTACATTTAATTATACATTGAATTGATTAACTTGTATCTGATTTAAATTGCTTCATTTTAAATTCATCGGCTATGACTGAACATATAAGTTCCGAATAGGTTGTATATTTAAACGAATATTTATGAAAATTGATAGTTATTTAATTCAATCTATCCAATTTATTAGGTAAGACATAATATTTCTAAAAAAATATTCTTTAAAAGAAAGTAATTTATAACGTCAAATAGATATCCAGTTTAAAATACTTTTATAGACTAAAGCGTGATCATTATAAAAGTACTACATAGATAGCAAATTAACATAAAGTTAGGTCTACTATACTGTGTTAAAGATTGTTAAGAGTTTATGTGACGCTGTAGGTAATAAGTACAGTTGATTATCGCAGAGATTTTCACATGATTGAAGTATATTTTTCTTATTGATTTACAACCTTTGATTTAATGTTCATGGGTAAGAAAAACGGATTCAAATATGAAAAAGAAGGTTGCATATGATAATGTAAATAGACATGTTCTTTTTATCCCGTGTAGTTGTGATTCAGACTTTAAAAAGAAGGTTCTATGAGGATGTTGAACAGTCTAAAATAAATTATCATTTTTTTAACACATGAAGTTAACTTCGATATTTCGTTGTCACGTAAAAGATAAAAACTTATCAATTCTTGTATTTATTGAAGTTATCTTAACTGTATAAAATTATTTACCAGAAAGGTTAACAGAGAATATCCAAAGATGGCAGAATGTAATTCATTGCTAGCTTACTTTTACGCTATTTAAGAACATATGGAAATTACAAATATGGTCTACTTTGATCCAGCAGTTATGGAACCAAAAAATGACAGTCTATGGTGGTTCATACAGAAAAGAAAAAAGAAAATGAGTCTAAACAGTATGAGAGGAAATACATCAAAAAACTAGTTGATTGATTTTAGGTGCTTTCTTAGCATATAACCGCCTCAGATGATACTATATTCACTGTCTTTAAATAATAAGACATTTACCAGCTATTCAATAAATACCAACATGAAATAGATGCTGAATTTTGCAAGAACAAAGCATCTACAATTAATATTGATTAAAACAATATCCTGTCGACCACGTATTTTAATAATTCAGAGCATGATTCTTTTCTTTAAATCATTATTTATCTAAGGTCACTCAAACTTATCAGTATTATGCAACTTGCTAATCTCGTTAGGCATTTTGTCAAGAGGTAATCCACTAGTCGGAAAATTTTAATTATTGGGATTACAAGTCCAAATTTCGGATTAATTTGTTCCCAATTATTGGATGATTTCATAATCTCAGGTTTGTCCCGAAGATTTCTTTGAAAAACACAAGATAAACAATAGTATGAAATTAAAATAATGAGATTTGAATTCGTTAAATAAAGTACTGTCATAAATAAAACAGTCTTAAACCACAGATACCCACATTATATCGTGTAAAATAACATCAAGCCAAAAGATGTTTCCAATTCTAATTTTCTTACAATAGTCATTATTTTAAGTACTGTGTAACATTTTAATTCAGTGATATTATGCTAATTCTCTCATAAACATAATCATTATTATAATCAAATTTCACAAGAAAGACGGAAGTTAATTCTTCAATTTTTGGCTTGTTATTTGTACCTGCAAAATATAACCTTGTTAAAAAAATTGAAATTAATTAAAGAATCATCCTTTTCCAATGTGATTTTTATGTTAGCGAGAAGTTTTATTAATTCAGTGTCTAATCGAAATCTCACAGGGAACAAGCTCATGAAAGAAACATTTTTAAAATGGCACTACTACGACCCAGCTGATAAACTAAACAATTCTGAAAACTGGTGGAAAAGAATTCTGTGATCAATTTGAGTCATTATAATCGAAATTTTGATTTATTGTTGTTTTAGAATAGCAAGTATTCAGTACACAGATATTTAGTGAAAACCATATTTTAGCCATATTTTATCGCGAAATTTTTAGATTGTATTCAACTGGTATGTTAACGCTTCAGTTCATTAGGCTAAGAAATAAAACACCAGAATTATTTATCAGTGAGAAACTTTTTCAAAAGAACACTGAAGATTGAAAGTAATTTGCAAAAAATCCAGTAAAACATTTGAGATGCCTCGAAATAATTAGGATCTGATGTTTCAAAAAAATTTAAACAACCGTTAACAGAGCAGTGTTCTATGCAACTCTCAAGTCGATATAGAATTTCATCCATGAAATTCTTTAATTTCAGCATAAGTATCAAGTACATATGATATAAATATTGAGAATTCTATTATATATTGGATACCAAAACATTATGTTATGTACCACAGTATTGATCCTATATATATATATATATATATATATATATATATATATATATATATATATATATATATATATATATATATATATATATACGCAGATAAAAGATAATAGAGAACAGTAAAAAAGGCTTTACTATTGATTTAATAATAAAATCTGTTAATAAACCTAACATTTAAATACAAATTTGACGGAATCGCATTCC